TCTGTTTTGCTGCCAACTTAAGTATCACAGCTCATGAAACTCATTACAAAATGGTTTGGGGGGGGGGGTTTCATTGTGGGTTTTTTGAGCATTCTTTTGCATCCTGAGGGAATTATAAAACTCCAGCTGTCATTTTAGAATTGATCCTCCTGACAGTGATGCCTTTTCTGATTGCTTTATAGCTTTGTTTTTAATGCATAAATATAACTAAACTATCTAAATATGCTTTTGAAATATTAAACAAAGCTTTGTTGGCCCCATGCACACTTCTCAAAAGGAGGGACTCCACAACGGGGACTTGCTGTAAGCTGTTGTCTCTCAGGCCTGTAGCTCCTCTCATATTGGGTTTTGTATGAGACAGTGGGTTAAATTTATGGTGCTTTAGATTTTTTTTCTCCAGGTTGCTCAGCTTCCTAAGTGCATAATGTATTACCCACACATAAAATAGGCAATCATCTGAATGTTGCTCATTACTTCATTTCACAACATTAAATTAAAGGTTAGTGTATTTTGCTTCTATCAGGTTAAAAAGGATATTTAATTCTCAAAAAAGTGCTGCTGCTGTTACTGATAACACAGAACAGCTTTAAAACTGACAATTTTAAGAAAGCAATTTGATTTTTACTCTTTAATTTGTTTATTACTTGCAATTCATTTGACAACTTTTTGCTTTTAGTTCTTCCTTGCTTTGTTTTCTGCTTTTTGGTATTTAGGTGCCAAAGCAATATTTAGGTGACAACTATGGAATTATCAAATCATAGAAAACGAGGGTTGGAAGGGACCTTAGGAGGTCATCTAGTCCAACCCCCTGCGCAAAGTAGGACCATCACCAGCTAGATCATCCCAGCCAAGTTTTTGTCTAGCCTGGTCTTAAAAACCTCCAAGGATAGAGATACCACAACCTCTCTGGGTAACCTGTGCCAGTGCTTTACGACCCTCCTGGTGAGAGAGAATTTCCTAATATCCAAGCTAAACTTCCCTTGCTGCAACCTGGGACCATTGCTCCTTGTTCTGTCATTTACCACCGCCGAGAATAGTCTAGTTCCATCTTTTATAACCACCCTTCAGGTAGCTGAATACTGTTATTAAATCCTCTCTTTGTCTTTTCATCTCTAGACTAAATAAGTCCAATTCATTCAGCCTCACCTCAGGAGTCATGTGTCCCAGCCCACTAACCATTTTTATTGCCCTCTGCTAGACTCTCTCCAATTTGTCCACATCCTTTCTGTAGTGGGGGCCTCAAAACTGGATGCAGTACTCCAGATGTGGCCTCACCAGTGCTGAATAGAGGGGAATCATCACTTTCTTTGATCTGCTGCTAATGGTTCTACTAATGCAGCCCAGTATGCCATTAGCCTTCTGCACAACAAAGGCACGCTGTTGGCTCATATTCAGCGTATTGTCCACTATAACCGTCAGGTCCTTTTCTGTAGAGCTGTTGCTTAGTCAATTGATCCCTAACCTGTACCTATGCAGGACTTAGCACTTGTCCTTATTGAACCTCATGAGATTTCTTTTGGTCCAGTCCTCCAATTCGTTGAGGTCTCTCTGAATCCTAGCTTTACCCTCCAGCATATGTACTGCTCCCCACAGCTTAGTGTCACCTGCAGACTTGCTGAAGGTGCACTCCATCCCATCTTCCAGGTCAAGATATTGAACAAAACCAGCCTCAGGACCAGCCAACCCCTGGGGCACTCCACTTGATACCAGCTGACAGCCAGACATCGAGCCATTGATTGCTACCCTTTGAGACTAGTGATCCAGCCAGTTTTTAGTCCACCTTGCAGTCTATTCATCCAATCCATACTTGCTTAGCTTGCTTGCAAGAAAGCTGTGGGAGACGGTATCAAAAGCCTTGCTAAAGACAAGGTATATCATGTCCACTGTTCTCCCCACATCCACAAAGCCAGTCATCTCATCACAGAACACAATTAGGCTGGTCAGGCATGATTTGCTCTTGGTGAATCCATGCTGACTGTTCTTAATAACCTTCTTCTCCAGGTGCTTAGAAATTAATTCCTTGAGGCTCTGCTCCTTGACCTTTCTAGGGACTAAGGTGAGCCTGGCTAGTTTATAGCTCCCTAGATCCTCCCTTCTTCCCTTTCTTAAAGATGGGAACTGTTTGGCCTTTTCCAGTAACCCAGGACTTCACCTGACTGCCATGAGTTTTTTCAAAAATAATGGCCTGCGGCTCTGCAATCACATCAGTCAACTGAGCAGCAGGGCAAGGAGAGGATGGCCCTTAGTTGGCCTCTCCAACATTTGCACCAGGAAGTTGTCTCCAACTCACTCCAAAAGCTTCCTGGATTGCCTGTGTACTGCTGTATTGCCCTCCCCATTGAAGTCCCCCATGATAGCCAGGGCCTGTGATCTGGAGATTTCTGCTGGCTGTTTGCTGGCTGCCTCATCCACCTCATCCTCCTAGTCTGGTGGTCTATAGCAGACACGCACCACAACATCACTCTTATTGCTTTCCCCTCTGACCCTAATCCAGAAACTTTCAAGAGGCCTGACTGCAGTTTCATACTGGAGGTCTGATCAGTTATACAGCTGTTTTACATAAAGCACAACTCCTCTCCCTTGTCTGTCCTTCCTGAACAGTTTATACCCATCCATGACAGTACTGCATGCAATCTTGCAAGCTATCCCACCACATCTCTGTTGTTCCACTCATGTCATAGTTCTGTGACTGTGAAGACTTCCAGTTGTTCCTCCTTGTTTCCCAGGCTCTATGCATTTGTGTATAGGCACCTGAGGTAACTAGACAATTGCCCTACTTTTTCACAAAGAATGAGATGGCCTCCCCTGTTGTCCCTCTTGCTTGTGCTTCCTCCAGGTCACCCGCTTCCCAACTTACCTCAGGGCTTTGATTTCCATCCCCCAGTAAACCTAGTTTACAGCCTTCCTCACTAGGTTAGCAAGTCTGTCTGTTAAAATTCTCTACCCTCTTCATCAGGTAGATCCCACTTCTTTCTAGCAATCCTTTTTGAAACAACATCTAATGGTTGAACAAGCCAAAGCTCTGCTGGCGACACTATCTGCCAGTACGTGTCCCTTTTGGAGACAGGATGGTTAGTTGTGGTGTGTGTTTTTTGGAGTATTTAGGATGAACTTTTCATTCATTTGTAACCCAGCATGATGTATGGTATCTTGCTTTTTGTGCTGGTACCTATCAGCATGTCACTCAGCATTAGCTATCTCTTTGTTGGCTTTGTAGAAATGTGGGAGCAACTTTAGAGAGACTATAAGACTTTGAGCAGTTAAAGAGTCTTGCTCTTAGAAGATGGGTCCTGCTACATCTACCAATATTCTGAAGCACAATATACTCTTTTCATATCAAGTTATTTAGAACTGTTCTCAACAGCAGAAATGTACTTCCTAAAGCCAGTCATATGGACAAAGCTCATCTGTATTTTCAGTACCACTGACGGACATTGTATTCAGAGTAAAAGGCTCTGAATGCTCGCATTATACAACCTTTTCAACATCTCTGATGTTTAAACTCTGTATTATATGACAGACTGTTAAAGATCTGGTTTCACAGCTTTTTTTTTTTTTTTTT